TCTCACCTCTGGCCAAGGCTGCCCTTAAACATCAGAGCTCTCACGTCTCAAGTCTCCAGCTCTGGGCCAAATGGAGACAAATCTATACGGAGCCCTTTCGAGGTGCCAGGCCCGTCCCATGAGTTCTCTTATTTAATCTTTATGCTAAGCCTGCAAGATAGGTTCTAGAACCCTCCCTTCAGCAGTAATCATCTGACCTGCAACAGCCGGAGCAGTCTGCCTCCAGCCCTCCACAGCATTTGAGGGTTCAAACCCAGACTCATGCTGCTTGCCTCACAAATGCCCCCTCGGTGGCGTCTTCCCTGTCATCTCACAGCCTTTAAACCTGGAATCTCTCCTATCCAATCTACGCAGCTTTCCACCCGTGGGCTTCCCTTTCCCGTTCCCATCCGTCCAAGTCCTACCCTTCCTCCGAATCTTCTGTGCACCCCCCACCAGCTGGCCTCTGCTCCCTGGGAATTCCCCCCAATCCCATGCGGCGCTTACAGCACTTACCGCCTTCTATACTTTACCACGGCCCTCTGCATCCTTGGCTTGCCAGAATTCATTACCCATTTCCACTAGGAGTGAGAAAAGAAAGGACACTCCTTGTGCACTTACTTGTCCTAGGACTTTGATTCCATGAATCACCCTTGAGGACGGTCCCCCTGCCACGTGTTAACTGATGGTCCTTGGTGCCAATTCAGCGCCAACGGGAAGCCCCAGTTTGGGGTGCGGCGAAGAACATTTTATTCAGTGCCCACAGCTCCACTGGGATACAGCGCTGCCGGGAGGCGCCCGCAGGCGGGGTGCCCTCGGATGAGGCGCCCCCTCCCCACCGAAGCGCCGCTCTGCTTCCAAACCACCCCCTTCAGGGAGCGGGCTTATATACACAGAAGCCCCACCCCTGGTCCCTAATTGGTCCGTCCTCATGCAAATGAGGACTCCTAATGCTCACAATTTGATTGGCCCAAAAAGCACTGTCCTGATTGGTCAGAATGGAGCTGCGCTGATTGGTTGGTGAAGTGGCTACCGGGAGGAGGGTCCCGCTGAGAGGTCTAGTTGGATGGGGAAACTGGTCGCGTGGCTGAAGGAGCGGTTCGGGAGCCCTGCCCGAGGGCCGGTCGGCGCCAGGCGCCCGGGGCGGGTGGGCGAAGGTGCGGTGCGGCCCCCAGGCGGCTTCTCCCCGCAGCCTGGCGGGCCCGGGAGGCCCCTGCTCGGAAAGGGCTGCTCAACTGCTTTTGCGCTTGAGCCCAGTTAGCCATCGGACACCTTCTTTCTCGGGGTCAACACACCTTGCAGATGTGTCCACGGGGTACACGGCCGCCTGGAGTGGCGGGATGAGAGGCACCC